TGTAGTCGCGGCGAGCAGGTGCTACTCTTTGTTGTGGTGTGCGGGCTTCTCATTGCAGTGGCTTCTCTTGTTGCAGAGCACGGGCTCTAGGTGCACAGACTTCAGTATTTGTGGCTCACGGGCTCTAGAGCACAGGCTCAGTAGTTGTGGCGCATGGACTTAGTTTCTCCGTGGCATGTGGGATCTTCCTGGACCAGGGCTCGAACCCGTGTCTCCTGCATTGGCAGGCGGATTCTTAACCACTGCACCACCAGGGAAGCCCGAAACTTAATTTTAACCAAGGTAGTAAGTGTACTTCAAGGCAATTCATTTAACTTTGAATTCCTTTTGCTTTCACTAATCTGTACAGAAGAGATCTCTAGCACTTTTGTATAGAAGAGTTACCTTTGATTCTCTGCAAAGTGTTATGCAGCAGATTTTTGTTTGGTTTAGGAATCAGTAATGGGGGATTCTTCACTGTATAGCATGGTATGGGAAACTCTTGCCACCTTTCCACTTGCCATTTCATTTGTTTTTCCAAAAAGTATGAATTATGGTTTAGGACTATGAAAAAAGTCATGGAGGACAGAAATGTATTAGGCACAGTCCCATTCATCCCGTAGCCTATACTCTATAAAAAGTAATAAGATACGGTACTTCCCTGGTGGTCTAGGGGTTAAGACTCAGCACTCCCAATGCAGGGGGCCTGGGTTCAATCCTTGATAACGGAACTAGATCCTGCATGCTGCAACTAAGAGCCCTGCACGCCACAACGCATATCTCACATGCCACAACTAAGACCCAGCACACATAAATAAATATTTAAATACTTAAAAAATAATAGGACAAAACATGAATTATTCTAAAACTAGATGTTAATGATCACTACCATAGGAGAAATATACAATAAAGGGCAAAACAGTGAATTTCCTAGTTGAATAATGTAAAGTACTAATTTTAAGTGGTTTGAAATTGGACTGAATTGGAAACTGAGTAGCCAACTCTCTAGTTCTAGCCATAGAAGTTAGATAGAATGGAGGGAAAGACTCCCTACCCCATCCAGAAGGAGATCTTTGTGGAATGTTGGCTTTGAGGTGTTAGAAAACCATTTAGGTTACTGAAAATGTACCGGAAGTCATCCACACTGTGATAAAATTTGAAGCCAAGGTGAAAGTTGAGTTTACCTAGCAAAAGAGGATACAGCAATAGTTCTCATAGTGTAGTCCCTGGACCACCACCACCACCAGCAGCATCTGGATGCTTGTTAGAAAACCCAGTTTTTCAGGTCCCATTCCAGATCTACTGAATCAGAAATCTTGGGGATGGAACACAGCAATCTGTGTTTTGATAAAGTCTCCAGGGGATCCTGTGCACACTACAGTTTGAGAGTCACTGGGACAAATAAAAAAAATGGAAGAGAGCTAAAGACCCCAGTTGAAGGTTTATAAGGCTGCAGAAGACAAAAGGAAGTCTCAAAGTTGGAGAGGATCCATGGGAGCCAAACATTCATGGAAGCCATGGGAGGAGAGAATTTCAAGAAGGAGATAGTAAGTATTGTCAAATATTATAGGAAGTTTAGTTCAAGTTGGGGCATTTGTACTAGTTCACAAATAGTACAGATGTGAACTGTTGTGCAAGCTTCTTAACCTTTCTGAGCCTCAATGTGTGCACCTGTAAAATGAGTCTGGAATCATGCTCTTTCAAAATTTTAAGATTTTTAGTGAATTAAATTATATACTAGATGTCAATTATGAAACCAGATGATTCATGAAGTAATCTTTCTGTACCATAGCCATTAAATTTGGCCATAGTTCTAAAACCTAACTTTGGTATTAAAGCTCTCAAGATTGGTGATTTTTTTTGTTTGTTTTTTTTGCGGTACGCGGGCCTCTCGCTGTTGTGGCCTCTCCCGTTGCGGAGCACAGGCTCCAGACGCGCAGGCTCAGCGGCCATGGCTCACGGGCTTAGTCGCTCCACGGCATGTGGGATCTTCCCAGACCGGGGCACGAACACGCGTCCGCTGCATCGGCAGGCGGACTCTCAACCACTGCGCCACCAGGGAAGCCCCTTGGATTGGTGATTTTGATAACAACACTCCCATATACTTGCATGAGTTAAGTGATGGCAGAGCAGATACTGGAGGATTATGTAACTTGGCTAGATATCAAGAACATACTAGTGCTGAGGGACTGGCATGGACGGTGGAGATGCCTTGTTTTCTGGATGTAAATTTTTATAAACTGCCACGTGGAAGCGTGACAGTTAAGATGGCTGGGTTAACTATTTTTCTGTTTATTAACACTAGAAACACACAGTTGACATTTGAGTCATATTTATGGGAAAGCAACAGAAGCCATACTGATGAGTTATTTTGTGTTTTTTGTGAGAATTGTAAAATGATGACAAATATCACTTTGATTTAACAGATAGATGTACTAAGGTATACAGTAGTGATGCTTAAGGTGAGGATATATATTATTTGTTAGGTGCTTAAATTTTTCACTGCCCCAAATTTTGTTTCATGAAAATCTTCCAGCATACTTGTAATTCTTACTATTTATTTGCTCCTTCAAGATCATTTCAAGGTTCTTAATAAGTGCTTATTTGGATGATGGAATGAATGGGAGACTGAAGACCTATATTCTCTTAAATTGAATATATGCTTTATCTGATAAGGGTAACAGATTATTAGCTATGGCATTACCTAGAATACATGTATATGATTTAATCCATTATTGACTATTAGCTGAGTGCCAGCCTTTATTGGAGTCAGATCCATAAGGTGACATTTTATGTAGTGAAAAGGTAAGTAAAGGTCTGGACTTTTAGAACAGTTCCCTCGGCATTTAAGATATGAGGAAAAGTTGGAGAAGTAATACACTTGACTAACCTGGGTGCTGTATGAGTTCTGAAGTATCAAAAGAAGTGACTAAGGCGAGAGGCAATGCCATATACAAATTCTTGCACACTTCACAATACATTCTCTAATAAATCCTATGGCCCTATATGTTTCTGTCTCTGCACAGAGATAAGTTAAACAAACAAACATACAACAAAAAATGTAAGCCAAACAATTCAAAATAAAATACAAAGGAATCACAGCACTGAAGGAGACTATTCATAAACCTTACCAACCCTGTTCACAAGACCATCTCTGCAATCCTAAATTCTCCTGTATTCTACAACTGCTCCAGACTCTTTCCCATGAATCTAAATAATTTTCTCCCAGCAACTATGTAGTGTGACTTAACCTCTCAGGCTAAGTCTTCCCACCTTTCTTACTGCTCCAGTCCCCAGGTTTGCAAGGTGTCTCTTTTTTGGAGAGATTGGGGTTGGGGAAGATTGGAGAAATAGGGGTAAGAGAAGGGATTAGCAGTCTTACTTTAATAAACCTTACGCTGATCACTTTAAAATCTTCCTGGTTCAGTTCAGGTGATGCTCTGGGGGAGGGGGTTGATACATTTGCTCAGCCCCAGAACCCAAAACAAAACCCCAAAGTTCAAATTCAAACCCTGAACTATTCTTTCCACTCTCCTTTTTTTCATCTTTCTTATATACTGTTTGGACTTACAATGACTTTGTACACCAAAACCGACAATACGGTGTGATAGAGCTCTGTGATATATTTTAGTCAAAGCCTAGTGGAGCTCTGAAGAGGAAATAATTTACATTGCCTGTGGAGTAAGGGAGGCTTCAAGAACCTGGTGTCCCTAAAGCTGCATCTGGAAGATGTGGAAGTTCATGCAATACTCAGGGAGTTAATATCTCCTCCAGGATGGAGCATGGAGTGAATGAAGAACAGTGTTAGTAAAGGCAGGCCAAAGTCATATTACAAACGCCCTTCAATTACTTGCTAAGAAAATTGGAGTGACTATTGTAGGCAGAAAAAAAGAGGAGAATCTCATCATTATCTATGTCTCTTAGATAACTGTCAGCAGTGTGGGAGATAGACTTGAGTTCATAATTAAGGTTTTGTTTTTGTTTTTTAAGTTTTTTGGCCGCACCCATGGCATGTGGGATCTCAGTTCCCCCCACCAGGGATAGAACCGGCGCCCTCTGTATTGGAAGTGCAGAGTCTTAACCACTGGTCTGCCGGGGAAGTCCCTATAATTAAGGTTTTTGTTTGTTTCTGTTGTTGTTTTTGGGTCTAGATATGAGTGTTAACTAGATCAGCCTAAAGGCAGGAAGGAGATCAGGAATTTCTTTTCTACAGACACTTAGGGGTGAATTTAATAGATGGAAAGATGATAAGGGATTAAACCAGGAATACTTCAGTGGCAATAAAGAGGCAGGGATAGATGGAAAGATTTCAGGGATAGCATGGGAAATGTGAGTCATGTCACCTGCACTCTAAACTATTATGTCATCTCAAACACTTGACAGTTGAGGCTTCCTCTGACTCACCCTGGCAAATGGCACACGTGGGGGGGAGGTCTGTTTCCCAAGCTACCCATGGTTCATTCGTGTGCCCATTAGATTGCCAGTCTCTTTAAGGCAGGGATCATATCTCTTCTTCTCTGTGTCCCACAGAAAGGTGTGCTGGATGGTTGATGAATGAGTGGAAACTAGACATTCATAAATGGCTGAAGATTACACGCAACCTGGCAATAAAAGCACTAACATTAAAAATTCACGGATAGCAAGACACTACACCAATTAACGTTAAACCTAAACTTTCACAGCACGTTTTCCCCCCATCTTTTTTAAGCTGGTAAACTACCCATCCCACACGTAACTATAGAGGCTAAAGTACTGGCTTCAAAGTAACTTTTTTAAAACAGATTTTATTGAGCTGATTTTATGTGCCAGGGGAGTGTTCTAAGAAGAGACCCACAACACAGGAGGTACAGGTTTCTATATCCTTTGACGGTTACTACACACACGACGTAAGTCCCTAAGTTCCGATTGCAAACCAGCTTGCCGGACCAAATCTCTGACGCTCGAATTTCCGGGGGGAAGCGTGAGTATGTTACTACGGATCGATTGCTTTTGCCTGGCGGAGATCTATCTGGAAGGGCCCTGCACTGGGAAGGCAAAGGAAAGGAGGTTAGTAAAGGACGTACTCCTCGGGAGGGACCCAGAGCCACTGAGATTCGGAAGGCCACACTGGCCTGTTTGGCTGGGCATCCAAGCGGGTCGGAGAGTTCAGTCATGTTCGCCCACGCGCTGATGCGCGCCCTGCGCAAGAATAAGACCCTTCGCTACGGAGTTCCCATGTTGGTGAGCGCCGTGAGAAAAAGTGGGGGAGGGATTCCGGAAGGGGTGGGACCACAAGTCTGGCTGGAAGGAGAGTTCTGTGAAACTGTAGCGCGTGCGACCGGGAACCGCAGTCTGGGCTAGGAAGGGGCTGGCGTTTAGGCGGTCCTAGTCTCCTAGTCTCTCCCCGCGCTGGTAGTGGGATCTCGAGTCCCCCTTTTACCTCTTTGGTAGTTACCTGGATGTGCTTCTGAGAGTGATGTCAGAACCAGATTTTAACCCAAGTCTGGGTGATTACTAACCTTCCATCCTACCCCGCTCCGCGCCCGCCCGCCCCCAGCTACAGCTTGACGACACTCTGCAGCATTGGAACTAGTTGTATTTACTTAATTTAACTGTATAATTTCGGGCATCTTCAGGTGTCAGCTTATTAGTTTGTGAACTGGCTTAATTCTTCCAGGCTTGTGATGAGTTAAATAAATCCTTGTGAATTGAACGAAGCACGTTGTAGCAGCCCTCAAAACATGGTCGCTGAATTATAGTTGATATTTTTAAAGAACGTTGAAAGTAGTTTGGGTGTCTATTTCTTTGCATCTATTCCTACGCGGAGTCCCCAGAAGGTTGCATTCGTCTTGAAATTTAGATTGTTGTTGGCTTAACACACCACCAACCCGAGTGGGAATCCAGCGAGACCACTCCGTTTCTTTTCAGTTTGACCTTGGCAAGTTACTTTGCTTCAGCAAGCCTTGATGTCATAGTAAATGAAACAATTTAAATAAAAAGCATGTGGACAAAGTCCACTTTCTTTTAAATAGTTTATTACTTTGGTATGGATTTGGTACAGGTGAAGTTACTAGCTTTTGCATTTAAGCAGGACTAAAGGAAAGAAGTGACCTTAGAAAAGTAATGAGTTTTTTTACTCATCTTTGATGAATGCGGATTTCTTGCTCATCTTCGGAAACTCCTTTTTATCCATCTTTCTAAAAGTTTAAAGAAAGCTATAAGACAATGTAGGTGATGAGGAATGTGTAAAAACTATCCTCCCTGTAGATTCCCCTGCCACAAAATAGAGATCCATTCAAAAATACTGTGATTGTAGTCATTACGTTGAGGTCACCTGCATGTCCCACTGGAAGACAGTTTGATTTTGTTTTTTATCTTTCAAAATCATCAAAGCTAAGCTCTTAAAACCAGTAGTATTAAAGTACCTTCTAAGGTTTCCCTCATTTGTTTTATTTCATGGAGTGGAGACTACCACAGTAGACTTCTTCCCAAGTGTATTTCTCTATACTGATCTCTGTGTCTATATTGGACCTGTACTATACTGGACCTAGGTCTGTACTGTTTCAAAATATGGGTCCTAGACATATAACTACCTTTGTAGAGGAAAATGTTGAATTCAGTACTCTAAAACCCAGTACTACTAGAAGGACCTCAAAAGATACATCTCTTCATCATGTATCAGTCAAATATTCCATAATTACTGTAGTATACTACTATACTTCAAGTTGAAATTATTTCCTCTCTTAGATAAATGTTAATGCTTGCTTCATAAGAATCTTTATTCAGCAACATGCAGAAGAGGACTTAGAGTACCAGGTACAGGCCAATAATACTGTCCTTCCCTGCTCTCCCAAACCACTTGAAAAAGAGAATATATTTGTTGTCTCCCAAACCACTTGAAAAAGAGAGTATATTTGTTGTTTCAGTTTCCACACTGCGCATTTAGTCGGCAGAATTTACCTTTCTAATCTGACCAGTGACTACTGGTTTCTACATTCTAAAAAATGAGCCCATTTAATGTTTTCTGTTCAGTTGTTTTTAGTTTATTCAGTGTTATGCAGCTATCACCACAGTCTAATTTTAGAACATTTTCATCACCCTAAGAGAAACACCATACTCAGTAGTAGCCACTTCCTGTTGTCCCCTACCCTTCTCCCATCCTAGTTAACCACTAATCTACTTTTGTCTATAGATTTCATAGAATAATACAACTTATGGTCTTTTGTGACTGACTTTGTTCACTTAGCATAATGTTTTCAAGGTTCATTCATGTAACATGTATCAAAACCTCATTCCTTTTAATGGCTAATATTCCATCAGTTGGAATATTTATTTTTCATTGATGAACATTTAGGTTGTTTTCATTTCTTGGCTATTATGAATGATGCTGCTATGAACATTCATGTACGGATTTTTGTATGGATGTGTTTTCATTTCTGTTGAGTAAATACCTAGTAGTAGAAATGCTGGGTCATATGGTAACTCCATGTTTAACATTTTGAGGAACTGCCAAGCTATTTCCCAAAAACTACGTCATTTTACGTTCCCACCAGCAATATATGAGGCTTCTGATTTTTCCATTCTTGCCAACAGTTGTCATTGTCCACTTTTGTTTTTTAATTAAACCCTTACTAGTGGGTGTGAAGTGGTATCTCACTGTGGTTTTGATTTGCATTTCCCTAATGACTAATGATGCAGGACATTCGTTCATACAGTGGATTATTGTTTATCTGTATATCTTCTTTGGGGAAATGTCTATTCAAGTCCTTTGCCCATTTTTAAATGGGGCTGTTTTTGTTTTTATTGGGCAGAGGTTTTCTTAAACACCTGGAAGCAGTAAGTTTCCCAGTGTTTGTCAAGGGGCTCTGTGTGCTTGATTGGGTATGCCTTCAGTACCCAGGCAGGTTACACTTCGCCTTAAGCTGTTACTTCTTGCTTGCTCAGAGCCTCAAGGTTAGCCACAGGTGAGTGTTTAGGGCCTTCTCAGATCTCTCCTGAGCTTACGCGCTGCTCTGGGCACGTGGACAGTTCTGCTCATGTGCATGTCCTTCCAGAGTGTCAGGAATATGTTTGAGCTTTTCAGAGTCCGCTATGGACACCTTATGCCTCATATTTTCCTTTGAGTGTTTTGGTTAGACTATTCCTTGCCCTGTTTTCTACCACCTCAGGCAGTATGATGTTAAACAATGGCCTCTGAATTTTTTCAGCAAACACTTCCAGGGAGAAGTCTGTTTGCACTAGTTGAGCTCCAAGTCAGGAAAACTAAAGACAGCCTTGTGAGTGGGTCTTCCAGGGAACCACCAGACTGGTCAAATAATGAAAATTCTCAGGGAATAAGACTTCAAGGAGCTCCACCCCATTATGCCCCTTCCAGCGGCTACTGCTTTATATCATGATTTTAGACTGCTGGTTTTCATGTTTACCAAGGAGTGTGGGTCGAGTCGTGGGAACAGGTAGGCTAAAAATGCCACCAAGCTTTCTGCTTTAACCGAGATTCAGTCATTCTCCTCACATAAATGTTCCCAACATCACTGCAGGCCTTTTTTAATTTCCAAAGTTCTGAAAAAATAGATTTGACAACTTTTGCCAGTGTTTTCATTGCGTTAATGGAGAAGGTTTTGGAGATTCTTACTCTGCCATTTCACTGATGTCACTGTTTTTGTTTTTGGGGGGGCTCTGGTGAGATTTTTCTAAATTTTCATTTGTTTATTGCTCTTTGAGGCACTTTTATGATGGTTCCTTTAAAATCTTTGCTAATGTCGCTTGATAGTCTTTCCTAATTCAAGTTGCTGTTTCCTGATTCTTGTAACAAGTGAATGTTTATTTTATCTTGGACATTCTGTATAGTATGTTAGGAAACTTTATATTCTCTTTAGGTCTTCTACTTTAGCAGTGGTCACCATGCTTGCATTAAGCTTGTGGATAGAAGTTAATGTAGGTAGAGTAGATCACTGTGCCCTGGGGGTACTCCAAGTTCAGAGGGTTGGGGTGTACAGGAGGGACCAATACAGGAGACTGAGAAGGGTTCTCAGTGAGGTAAAAGGAAAACCAGGTTTAAGGGAAGAGAAGGAAAATGTGATCAACGGTGTCCAATTTTGCTCATGAAATAAGATGAGAACAGAGAGCTAAACATTGCATTTAGTAACATGATGTCAGTGTTGGTTGGAATGGATCTGAGAGAAAGTGGAAAGAGCAGCAAGCACAGACGACTTGTTTGAGAAATTTTACTGCAGGTGAGAACGAAGAAACGGGCTAAGAACATGGGGAAGTAAGGTCTAGAGAAATCTGGTAATAAGATGGGAGAAATGATAGCATTTTTTATGATGAATCATGCAGTGTGGTGAGCAAGATTTTTGATGAATCACTGCCCTTCAGTATATAAGATGGTTGGGATCTAGTGCAGAAATGAAGATATTTAGCTAGGAGTGTAGATACCATGGTAATGAGTGGTCGGTAGTACAGTGCCATGTTGACACTAACTATGTAGCATTAGTACAGACTTCATAGATTAAGTGCACAGTTCTCCATAAAACTCCCCTCATCAGACACCAGCTGAAAGCTGTGCGATATTAGGCCACCTGTGCTTCTGATCAACTGGTTACAAATTCAGTGGTTCCTGATAGCCCCTCAGGTTCAATAATTCAGTAGACTGACTCACAGAACTCAGGATATCACTATACTGAGGATTATTGTTTTATCATAAAGGTTATGAATTAGGAACAGTTGAAGGAAGAGACCCTTAGGGCAAGGTCTGGGGAATGTCCCAAAGGCAGAGTTTCCTTGTTTTCTCCCTGTGGAATCAGGGTATGCCACCATCCCAGCACATTGATGTGTTCACCAACCAGGAAGCTCATCCAGAGTTTTTTATTGGGATTCTGTTATTGGGATTTTCATCATCTATGGTCGATTGGATCATTGGCTGTGTGACTGAACTCAATCTCCTGCCTCACTTTCCTCCTTGGAGGTCAGGAGGTCAGGTGGCTATCACATGGCTCAAGGCCCCCACCCTCTAGTCACATGGTTGATCATTCCAGCATGGCCAACCTCTATGCTGTGACTATCTAGGGACCCACAGTGAGTCACCTCATTGGTATAAACTCAGCTGTGGTCCCAATAACAAAGATGCTCCTGTCACTCAGGAAATTCCAAGTGAGTAGCTCCCTCCCAAGAACCCAGGACCAAGACCAGACAAATTCTTTATTATGTAACACGTGGGTATTGCGATGGCAGTTGTGCAGAAAAGAGATGATGGGGGCCTAGACTAGAATATTAGAAGAAGATATAGTCCGAAATTGTCAGATTTAAGAAATATTTTGACAGAACTCAGTGATGGATTAGATGTGAGATAGGAATTAGAGGAGCTAAAGATGACTCCAGAGAAGCTGGCTTGAGTAATTGGATGAAAGTATTTGACCTTAATTGGGATGTGGAAGATTGATTAGCAGCAGATTGGGGCAGAAAGAGTGTTGGGGTAAAAAATCAAGAATTTTTTCATGTTAATTTATATATACCTGTTAAACTTTCAAGTGGAGATGTGAAGTAGGAGGGCAGGTCTTCACTTCAGTGGGATGTTTCCCACTGAGAATGTACATGTGGAAGTTGTTAGGTTATAGAAGCTATTTAAATCCGTGGAACTGGATGGCATCACCTAGGGGCTCTCTTGGTTGTGAATAGGTAAAAAAGGTGTGAAGACTGAGCCTTTTGAGATACTCCAACATTTTGAGATGGGAAGGTGAGGAAGAATGAATAAAGGGAGGCTGAGAGGAGTTAGAAAAATCACAGGTGTGTTTTTTTTTGTCACCAACCAGGGTTCTTGGCCTTCCTTAATCAACAGATATTGATAAGAGGCCAGACAAGAAATTCAGGCAAGACTTTATCAGCAGGGGGGAGCGAAAACAGGTAACAGGTTCCCTCGCTCGCTTGAACCCCTAGGGTGGGGGCCAGCTGATTCCTTATATGGGGAGAGCGTAGGGATGTGTCCATGGGTGGGGCTAAAGGGGTGGCTTAGGTGGTCTGCCCACCCCTTTGTGGTGTTGAGTGTAGGGGGCATGTGCAGTACCCTGCTTTTACTCCTGACACCGTGTTTTTGCTCCCAGCTCTTCAGAAGTGGCAGTTGGGTTTTTGGTCTTTTTGTATCTTGTTGTGCATAATTTGTCCCAACTGTGCATGCTTGCAGTAATTTTTAGTCCCTAATACTTTCTTTGCATTTTGTTGCTGGAGGAGAAGTTTGTCCAGGTGCAAGCACTGCAGCAAAGGGTCCCAGGTGCCAGGTCCCAGCGTGTCTCATTTTCATTGAAACCAAGAGACAAAAAAGTTACTTTACTTATACAAAGAATGATTACATATTGACATTGGATATTGATATTGACATTGGAAGTATTAGCTGGTTATATATAACATATTTTTCCTGGTTTCTTGTCTTTTGATTTGATGTCATTTTTGTTTTATTTATTTGCAGATAAGAGACTAAATTTTTATGTGGTCAGATTTATTGGGTTTTTAAATTCATAGCCTCAAGGTTTTGTTGGTATTCCCACTTCAAAATTATAGAATTTTATATTTTACAGTGTTTTTATCTGTTTGTATTACTTTAATTGGTAATATTAATATATTGATGGTAGGGATCAAACTTAATGTTTTTCCAAATTGCTAGACTTTTACAGCTTGAGGATGAGAGTGAAGCCCGTTAGATTATCAGAGGAGATGCTAAAGCAGCAATGGCCATTCATGGGCTCTTTTAAGGTGTACCACATACTGAGAAGGGTAACATACTTCATGAGATTGTTTTATCACTTGGTTAGAAAATGGAGAAAAATGCTCTCTAATTGGCCTATTTTGCAAAATCATAAAATTGAAAGAATTCTAGTCTTGAAGAAGCAAGGCCAGGATTTTATTCCTGGATTTACCCATTACAATCATGGGCAAGTCATTTAGTTCGCTGTACTTTTATTTCCTCATCTATTAAGTGTATTTTTTTTCCCCTAGCTCATAGGTCTTTTGTAAGAATCAACTAATATAATGCTTCTGATGGTGATATTTAAATAAGGTCAAGTACAGGTGGGGGTAATGATTTTGGTATTTGCTCATGTGCTAAAATGTTTCCCAGTGATAGTGTGTACTATATCTACTCTGAGAAGATGAATGGTAACTCACCAGGGAAAATAATCTATAAGATTTTGTATAATCTACCACTGTTGGTGTTCAGATAAGTAATGTATAGATAGACTGAATTCTGCCCTTCTATTTTGTTTAATCGTTTCCCTGTCTTGTTTCAGTTGCTGATTGTTGGAGGTTCTTTTGGTCTTCGTGAGTTTTCACAAATCCGTTATGATGCTGTAAAGATTAAAGTAAGAACTGTCATTGGTATTTGACATGTGTACATGTATGTTCTGGTTTATGAGACACGAATATTCAGTAAACTAAGCTGTCTTGAGTTTTATCTTGCTTTTTATGACTGATATATGGGGACTTCCCTGGCGGTGCAGTGGTTAAGACTCTGCTCTTCCAATGCAGGGGGCATGGGTTCGATCCCTGGTCAGGGAACTAAGATCCCACATGCTGCATGGTGATGCCAAAAAATAAAATAACTAACTAACTAACTAAATATAATAAAAATAATACAAAGAGCTGTTTAAAAAAAAAGACTGATATATGATCTTTGGACTCTTTAAAAAAATTTTTTTATACTATTTCTAAAGGTTACTTTCCATTTACAGTTATTACAGAATATTGGCTATATTCCCTATGTCGCACATTATATCCTTGAGCCTGTCTTACACCCAACAGTGTGTACTGCCCATGCCTTCACCCCTGTTGCCCCTCCCCCCCCCACTGGTAACCTCTAGTTTGTTTTTTATATTTGTGAGTCTGCTTCCTTTTTTGTTGTATTCACTAGTTTGTGATATTTTTTAGAATCCACATATACGTTATCATACAGTATTTATCTTTCTCTGATTTATTTCACTTAGCATAATGCCCTCCAAGTCCATCCATGTTGCTGCAAATGGCAAAATTTCATTCTTTTTTTTATGGCTAAGTAAAACATACGTGTGTGTGTCTGTGTGTGTGTGTGTATATATATATATATATATACCCACACACACAGAAACAATTTTTTTTTTTTTTTGCAAATTATGGGTTTTTTTTTTAAGATCTTTATTGGAGTATAATTGCTTTACAATGGCGTGTTAGTTTCTGCTGTATAACAAAGTGAATCAGCTATACATATACACATATCCCCATATCTCCTCCCTCTTGCATCTCCCTCCC